CAAACGTCTCAGAAGTCCTGTCCACAGACTGCATTGCTAGTCACCACAGGCTACAATTTTCCACAGCAGATGCTGGAGGAAAGGCTCGTTTCTCATTTGCTAGCATGCAAATTTAGACATATTCTTTTACATATTTCACCATTTTTATCCTTGTATAACATCTGCTTCATTTGAGTTATCAAGTATAGATGCCAGCTAATATGTAAAATTGAAAGAATAGAACAGGAAGAAAATATCTAAATTAATAGATGAAACTTAGCCCAGGCAGTGGCAGCACACACCTTTAATCCCAGCACCTGGAACAATCACATTACCATTGTGAGAGAACTCAGATGGAGTGAAGGCAAAGACACTCATGGTAAGTATTGAGTATGTACATTAATACTAAAGTACTTGTATACTGTATATAAAGTCATAGTTTTAATTTCCAAGACTAAGAAAATAAGAGGTTCTTATCTTAGAATCTGCTTGGAAGAGATGTTAATTTTCTTTATAAAGAAATAATTTCAAATAGTTTCATAATGTATATAGGCAGTAGAGCTTGGTCAGAGGCTATGTGTTTCATGCAGTTAAATCATTAGTATGACATGATTCTGAATCTCATTAGAGATGTATAATTCTTTGTTCAAATGTATTTTCATGAATAAATATTTCAAATTTCTGGGTCAAGTTTATAGTACATTTTTCATGTTCCCACAAAATAATTCCAAATTACTATAAGAACTTTATGTGGTTAATTTGGTTATGGCCTTGGTAATCTGTACAAGACTCTCCAATATTTATGAATATCAACAGCATGATTAGTAAGATCACATAGGTCAACTGAATAGCCTCTTTGAGCTGGACCCCACAGGCTAGAGGGAAAATCTTGAACATGCTTCTTGCTGAAGATCTTAAAGACATGTTGGTCTGAAAAAATCAGGAAAAAGTTGAACAGCTGACTAAAGAGAAAGTCTAGTTCTCATAGTGTCAGGACAGTAGGAAAGGCATCTCCATTTAGTTTTCAAAAATCAGAGATTAATATCTAGTTCCTGAAATTGCCTGATTTAATTTATTTATTTAGCTCCCTGAAGTTTATCATTACCCTCTAGTTAAAATTAAGAATAGAAGACCAGCTGGACAGTGGTGGCACAAGCCTATAATTCCAGCACTTGGGAGGCAGAGGCAGGCAGATTTCTAGGAGCTCAAGACTTTCCTGGTATGCAAAGTGAGTTCCCGGGCAGTCAGAGCTGTTACACAGAGAGACACTGTCTCAAAAAAGCAAGAGGAATAAAAAAAAAAAGAAAAACTCTCCCATATAACAAAGGAATGATCCTTTTTATGTTAGGCATCTACTTTGTAATGCAAATAAATTCAAATGATAGTAGCTTTTAGCCAACAACCAGAAACACTGTCATCTTTTGCTCTTTCTGTGAGTTTGGTTTTCCTCCTCTGAGAGCTGAAACAGTTGAAAAAGCAAAGGATCATTGAACCAGCTCTATTTATCTATATACTATATTTCTATCCAAGATTGTGACTCAGCTACTGAAACAGATGTGACAAGAGTTCTCCAATACAGCCTTAGATTCAACCCTACTTAAGTTCCATTATGTCAAGAAACAATATTGCAACAAATTTACAGATTTTAGTTGGCTCTTGTTTGCAAATATAGTTTTGAATATAGTTCTGCAAAATGAAACATGTGTTTTTGGGCTCTGTGAGTAAGCATTAGCTTTATAGACAGAATACAGTTTTAAAAAGGGTTCATAAATAAAAATGAAAAACCAAAGATTGATCATCTATCATTTGATCAATTATTGATCAAAAACCAATAATTTCAATTTTTTTCAAAAGCAAAATTTGAGAGACATATTCTTTTAAGTACAGTATTTACTAAACTGGCTCTTCCTGCTCCTTTTCCTCCTCTTCCTCCTCCTCCTCCTGCTGCGCTGCTGCTGTTCTTCTCCTCCCTCATCTCTCTTCTGTCTGCCCTCCTGCTCATTTTAACAAGTCTGTTTCGTGTCATGATGTGGAATCACGGCATGAGTAACTCCTTTTATTTAGTCTGTTGAGGCTAGTGTAAGAGAGCAATCCAAACCTGGTTAAAGTAACAGCCTCTGTTGTTTTCCTACCTCTTTTAGGTTGAAACAGCCCCTCTTGGAGGGATGGGAGAGATGGGAGAAGTTCATAATACCAGGAAGTAAACACAAGGTTCATAATGCTCCTGGAATTCACAAGGCTCAAGTCCTGTCTCTAAGATTATTTCAGCAGTAACAATCATCCATGAGTTCTCACTGATGAGCTACCAGCAAGTCTAGCATCTTTCCTAAGTCCTGACTTGAGCTGGGATAGGCTGCTCAAGTGTGCAGCAAACCTTAGACATGCATGGGCCTGTAAGTAAACCCTGACCCATCCTCCCATAAGCAACCCAAAGAAACTCAGTTTTACTAAACTGGATATGAGTGAAATAATTTCTTTGGTTTGTCATTAGTCTTTTATCTGGGCTGTACATCTCCCCTGAATTATACCTTTTTGTAAATGTTATTTACCATTGACATACTAATTGTGAAAATAAATCATCATGGTAGGTGGATTATACTCTATCTACTTATGTGTGGTGTGTCAAACTATCAAATACAGAAACGGAGAATTTCGATCACCTTCGTAATTACATTGTCATTAATTTTTGACAATTACAATGATTCCCTTAGTTACACCATCATTTTGCTCCATTTTTTCATAGACTAGGGAACAAAAATGATCACCACCAATCTATTCTATATGAAAAAGTAAAAGAGGTAAAAAGAAAACCACAAAATGTAGTAAAAATACATAATTTATAGTGATTTCTAAATGATTCTGTCAGGACCATCTCTGCCAAAGGTGTTATCTATAAATTCTGGGTCAAATTTGAAAACCCTAGCTCTCTACAACTGATGGAGAATGTAAGTGGAGCACTGTTAATACTTTATAGAAATCTAAGCAGATGATGTAACAGAAAATAGTCTCTGACGCCAAACTCTGTTCTCAATTCCTTCAACCCAGTAAGTTTGTAAGTGTCAGCAAATAGTCACATCACAACATACAAAAATAAGAACTATATAGTCTTACAGCTCAACGATGTAATAATGTCAACTATATATTAACATTTTATTTTACCTTGTTGTTGTCAAACATATTTCATTTACTGTTTAATGTTAATCTGAGTTCTTAAATAATGTAGAAATTAATTTAAGATAATATCCTATAGTAATAATCACCATTCAGTATCAATTTTTGTTTTGTTTTGAGGCAAAGTGTGACTGTATAGCTTTAGTTGACATGGGAGTCATTGTACAGCTATGCTGGCCTTGAACTTGGAAGTAATCCCTTTCACGTGCTGGCATATAGGCATGGGCTATCACACCTGACAGCTATTGTTTCGAGATTATTATTTGGTTTACTTGAGCAAACATATTTACATTCGTATGGTTTATATGGGAATAATATTACTCTATTAGTAGTAAACCAGGTTAAGAAGTTTTCGAATTTTAGTATAGCAAACCAAACCTTATCAAACATGTCAGACAAGAAGAGCATAAACCCCATCCCTAAAGCAAACACCCATGTATGCTTAATCTGTCAGGAAATAATTATTATTAGATGAATTTGTAATTTTTATCTTATAGAAAAATGTTCTCAAAAGCAGTTTCTGTTCAAAATATTTTAAGATTTTTTTTGTTTACAATGTGGGAGGATTGCACTGTTTTTGGTAATGAAGATGATAATATTTTTATTTGCATTTTACTCATAGGCATTTGTTAAAAATATTGACTGGCAGTAGTGGCACACACCTTTCATCCCAGTACTCAGAAGGCAGAGGCAAGTGGATCTCTGCCAGTCTGAGTCTGGTCACATCGAGGCTTCGGGCATGCAAGTGGCCACCAACATACATGCAGGCAAAACACTCAAATACACAATATAATAAAATAAAATTTAAAAAGAGTTTAACAAAGAATTATTTTACAATACTATTGATTATTTGAATCAAATGATATCTAAGTATTAACTATGCCTAAGAGAATATGTATACAAATATGTAACTATAGTACATATATTTGAAAATATTGATGTCATATATATTTGTAGTGGATCAAATGCTTTGAAGTACAACAAATGACTTCTTCACACTAACATTATATCTTTGAAAACAGTCTTCAATTTAGGAGACTACAGTACAATGATTCTTCTACCGATGAGAGATGAGGGCACATGTATGAGCACACGCAAGCACTGTGCACACAGCTTTTAAGGAAAAATTATGCATAGGTGATAGGTGTTTTCATCAGTTATCAGACTGTATGAAGTATTAGCCATCCTGGTTCCCCATGCAAAGGCCTTGACAATTTGGTTAGGAAATTTTCATATATTTTAAACAGTAAATCCATTGGTAATATTTATATACCTAACCAAGATAGAGAAAACGATTTACAAACCCATTGCATATCCTTTGTACTGAGTTTTAAATTTTTAATAACAAATCAGTAACTTAGATGAATACAAATTAAGGTGGACTTAAGCAGGAGGAAATTGTTTTAAACCAAATCCATGTATTTGTTTATTTGAATGCTTGCCAATGAGAATGTAGCTTTCCTGTAAGCTCAGCTCTGAAACACACCAGTTCTTAGAAGGGTGTGTAAAGGAATGATCACACCCAAATGGGCGTGGACAGGGGTACCTGGGTCAGGTGAGGAATAAAAGGGCGAAGGAAAGCAAATCTTTCTCTATTGGAACTTGGTCGCTGTGGAGACCATAGAGCTCTTCCCAGTAAGTGAGTTCTATATTTAGTAAAGTATCTCAGACCTCCTTTTCAAGTAGCATTGTCTCCTGTTTCAAAGGGTGTATGAATAAAATTCCTTTGAACTGTCTTGCAAGTATTCTTGTTTCTATAAAAACAGCACCAGACTCATTCACCTGCTCGTGGAATTGCTGCACACTTGACATTGGCCATGGTATGGCCATGGTATTTAAAAACAGCTGTAATGAAGACCACAGGAATCACTGTGTTCACAAAATCGCCACCAGTGACACAAGAGCTACGCTCATTTTTCCTCTTTTAAAATCTATTTGTTCAGATGTGATGGGTTTTTTTCTCTTCATTGCAACCATCATAATGATGGCAGAAATTACTCTTGGAGGCTTTGCCAATGTCTTCATTGTTCTGGTGAACTTTACTGACTGTATCAAGAGAAGAAAAATCTCCTTAACTGACAGAATTCTCACTGCTCTGGCCATCTTCAGGATTGGTTTGCTTTGGATAATATTAATGAACTGGTGCTCAACTGTGTTTATTCCGACTTCATCATCTGTACAAGTGAGATTTATTATTAGTGTTACCTGGGCTGTAACCAACCATTTTCATACCTGGCTGGCAACTATACTCAGCATACTGTATTTGCTGAAGATAGGCAATTTCTCAAACCTTATTTTTCTTGGCCTAAAGGGAAAAATTAAGAGTGTCATTGTAGTTGTACTTTTGGGGAGTTTGCTGTTATTGCTTCCAAATCTTACAATGGCAACCTTACGCGAGAAACTCCAAGTGAACAGTCACAGAAGCAATTTGACTGAGAAGACAAAAGTGGCTTATATCATAAACCTTGCATTTGTGATGGCATTCACTCTAAACAATATCATTCCCTTCACCATATCTATGATCTGTTTTCTGCTGCTAATATATTCTCTGTGTAAACACCTTGAGACAATGAAGCTTCATGGAAAAGGATCCCAGAATCCAAGCACCACAGCCCACATTAAGGCTTTGCAAGCTGTAGTCTCCTTTCTGTTGTTATTTTCCATGTTCATTCTATCTCTGATCATATCAGGTTACAGTTATATTAAGCCTCTGGATAAGCCAGTTCACCTGATTTGTCAGGTTATGGGAACTTTATATCCTTCAAGCCATTCCTACATACTGATATGGGGAAATAAGAAGATCAAACAGGTCTTTGTGCTGGCAATGGTGCAAGTGAGAACAAGACTCCGGCTGAAAGAACAGAAACCTTAAATTCCTTTCACCAGTGTTAGAGACTTGGTGTGACTAGGAGCAGAGTTTTTTGTGCATCCTATTCCTTTTGAAAATATGGACAATGTGAATTGTTTGTAAATAAATTTCAAGGAAATATTTATATATATGCCTACTAAAGTGGAGATTATTTTTGTTTGTGGATATGTATAAAATATACAAGAAAACCTGTATATAGCATTCCCTTAATATTATTTTCACAAAATCCTTGTAATTATTCAAAATATGATTCGCATTTTTTAGAATTATTAACCCAGGTATAACTGACTTCTTTATCTTCTACATAATAAGTTTAAAACCTATTATTAAATATTATTTAAAACTGTTAGCTTGTTTTAAGAAATCATTGCTTTTCCCATTATTCTTTGTAACACATGTATGTATCAAATCTTTTTAGATTTCTGATGTTATTTAAAGCTGGTAAACCCTAAATATTGGTATATACAAGAGAAACTAGTGGGTTGTGTGTGTGTGAGAGTGAAAATAATTATAATGGAAAAAAGATCTTGAATTTAAGAGGCATTGGTGGTAGAATATAGGAAGCAGAGGAAGGGTAACAATCATAGAATTTCAGTACTCATTCATCAAATTCTCAAAAACAGTAAAATAAATATTTATATCCTGAAATAAAAATTGTGCATTTAAGCACATTTGTAGTAGAAGAAAATCCAGCATTATTTTATCAATAAAAGTAAGAAATGTTGTTAAATATTGGAAATATATTCATTTGTCCATTACACAGTTTTTCATTGATAATATCTTAATACTCTAAATAAATTATAGAAGCCATGATTAGTATTCATCAGATATTTTATACTCTTCTCTCTCCTTGTCTTTTCCCCTGCCCCCCCAATGATTTTTTTCTATTAAGTAGATCATACTGGACATTAATGTAGAGGGCAGGCACACTAAGCAGACAGAGGATGAGTAGATGAAGATGATGAGTAAGAGATATGTATAACCAAGACTAAGCTTACATAGATTTCAATGATAAGTCACTGCCTCTTTGGATGTCAATTCTATATCACATATTGAAAACTTGTTTGAAGTAGATTTTAGGTTTTCAATAATTGTTGGGTAGTGGTAGGGTACACCTTTAATCCCAGTATTCAGGAGGCAGAGGTAAATGGATCTCTGTGAGTTCAAGGCCACCCTAGTCAACAGAGCAAGTTTTAGGACAGTCAGGACTACTCAGAGAAATGGTCTCAAAAAAACAAACAAACAAATAAAAACCAAAAAACAGTAAAAAGAAAAAAGAAAGAAAGGAAGAAGAAAGAAAGCAGGAATTTCGAAGCCTGGGCATATGAGAAAAAGCAACAACCCCATGCCATGCCTTGCAGCTGGGGCAGGCAGTACTTAACCAAGAACCTGCTTGGGGCCACTGTCCATGCCAATCTGAGTGACCTCTGCTGCCATCTGGAACCATGGTGACATCCAAGCCTGGGCTACTGCCTAGGACCAGATGCCTGGGGTCTAGGCTGCAACCTGTGGCCATGTGCGTATCCAGAGGTGGTGATGCCTCAAGGGCCATGCATATCTGAGTAGTCTGCACTCATTTTTTTATCCAGGGCCATGGTGTCATCGGGGCCAGGGTCTGTAGTCTTGCAGCAGCTGGGGTCTGAGTTGATGTTCATAGTTCCTGTTACCACAACGGGCCATGCAGATGACTGGATTTTGGTCAGCCACCTGAGATGATGTTAATGCCTGAGAGACATGCTGCTGCTAGTGCCATATTGATCTGACTGGCTTGTGATGTCACATGGGGCCAAGGATACTTCTGGGCCCAGGCTGTTACATAAAGCCATGTCTCAATCCACTGGCCTGCAGCAGCCAGGATGTGGGGTGATGTCTGTAGCTCTTGTTACCTCACAGGTTCATAGGAACCATGTGTGTTGAAATCCAATAGGTGTAATGAACTGTTCTTGCTGTTTTCTGGAAACAGTAGTAGGAGAGCTGGCTCCATCTCTCAGGGGAGAACTGACCCCTGCACCTTGAAAAATGGCCCTTCATAACTACAACTGATCCTGTTGAAAGAGGTGCAGGTGAGCCGGCCCTGGCCATATGAGGGCAGGAGACCTGACCCCACCTCCCCTCATCTGCCCAGTGGTGGCATGGGTGATAGAAAGATGTCCTCCCCTCACCCATCATCATCTGTGACTGGTGTGAGCACTGACCCTGGGGTCAAGACAGTGAGAGGACTAGTGTTGCCCCTTACCAGCTGCAGCACACAGGAGAGTGGGTCCTGCATCCTGCCTAGGGGGCACATTAGAGATGACCCTGTTGTCAGGGTCACAGGTGAGACAGGACTGAAGGCACTAGAGCAGGAGACTTGGCCCCCATGCCTCTCATATGTCCCCTACGGCAACTGGGATAGAGGACCCTCTACCTTACCTGGGCAAAACAGTAGAGCTAGCCATGGTGGTGTGAACCTGGGTGAGATAGATCCTAGGACCTGAGATAAAGATAACTATCCCCACTCCTTGCTGTAGGCTGCATTGGGAGAACTAGCCACAGGATATCTGGAGAACTTTCCCTGGTAGTGATGGTGACACAAAGCTGGTGGGCAGACAAACCCAGTTACCACCCAAGCCCAGAGCCAAGACTATAAATTAGCCCACCCTAACATCCAACTCATCTGTGAAATATTGGGGCATATGAAGGAGACAGACCTACAGATCCAAAACTGCAGGGCCTACAGGACACAAGACAAGGAAAAGATATCCAAGAAAAGCCAGTGTAAGAGACAATTATTGATAGTGTAGCCAAAGCCAGAGGCCTCAAATCAAACTAATGACTCAGCAATGAGCACTTAAGATGAATGGACTGAAGGGTAACAGTGTGACTCATTTGGCTACACTACAGCTTCCACATTCTTCTATTTTTTGTTTTTGTTTGGTTTGGTTAGTTGGTTTGGATTTTGTTTCTTTCTTTTAAATTTTGTTTTATTTTAGGTGGAAGTTGCAGGGGCAGAGGGCAGATTCGAGGGGACAGAGAGATAAGTGGGATCAGAATGCAGGATGTGAAATCACAGAGAATCAATAAAAGTTAAAAGAATTAAATAAAAATTATTTTTTCCTGTCTAATAGAAAATAAGGAGAATTATTAGAAACATGCACGCAATGCTTTTAGCATAACTGTATGCACAAAGACCTATAGTAAATTCAGCACATGGCTGCCATAAGAGATGCATATGTGTTTCAGATTGAGCACAAATAACGACAGAGCCTAGGAAATATCAAAACTCTGACTATGGCCTGGCCTCGGTGCTGTTGAACTTTTCCAGACACAGCTAGGAGAACCATTTATCACATTTCTTGAAACAACAAAGACCAATCTTTTAATTTGAGATGGGATTTAAAATTTTTTCAGAGTTTTCCCAAAACTACATGTAGCTTCAAAAGTTATAGTTGCTTTCCTTCATTTTCCATTCTTAAAGTCATTTGAAATTCATCATATGAAACTAAAAATTTGAAATTTATCATATGGATATACAAAATATTATATGTAACCCATGAATCTCTCTGCAGCTGTGAAAAGCGATCGAGTTGTATGTGGTACATGGGCAACACTAGGAGACTTTTCAGTGATCTGGCAGCCTCCTGTGGAACGGATGAAAGTGAGAGAAAGTATATTGCTGTAATACTTGATGAAAGTTCTATTAGAGGAAGGAAATGCCTAAACCTATACGATAGTTAAAGTGCCTGTGTCTGCTCTAGCAATGACATAATGGAGTTTTAGAATTGCTGTCTAAAAAAAAGCTGACAAAGATGATAAACAGCAGATTTTGTTTTTCACTCATCTCTCTCAGCAGCACTTTTTTTTCATCTTTTTCTCTATTTAAAAATAGGATTCTTTTTCATGCGAAATATTCCGATGATGGATTTTCATTCCCCAAACCCCTGGAAGATCATCCCAACCTCCAGTCTCATCTGACTCCACACCATATCTGCCTGACATTTAGAGAATAAAAATACAAATAAGATAAATGCAAAAAAATGGGCAAAACAAACAACAACAGCAAACAAACAGAAAGAAAGGAAGAGCCAAAGAAACATATAGATGAAGAAACATACACATTCATACACACATGAATCCCTTGAATAAAGAAAGCCAGGAGCTATAGTATATATTTAAAGGACCTGTAAAATTAATTTTTTTAAAAAGCTCTGACAAAATATTATGAGATAAAGAACAAATCCATAAAGCTTCCATTGAATTTGTTTTGGCTTGGCTATCTGTTGGGCATGGAACCAGCCCTTAAGAGTAGTTTATGTCACTAGTGAGACTTGATTTCAGTCTTCATGTTGACCCTATAATAATGTCACATTATAGTCACAAAGCAATGCAGAATGCTATACACTAACAAACCTATGTCACTTACACATTCAGTGTTCAGTATGACATGAATCACAGTTCAAGTGGCCTCTGACAGCAGACTCTTCCTTCTGTGTGATGAACCACAAAGCATCTTTGGGTCCCCACATGACATGGTCAAATCCAAGTGAATACATGAAAATCCTCGAGAATGTGAATTTATGTCTTCTCCTGGGCACTTCTTCTTGCTATTGTTAAATAACCATAAATTTTGAAGAACACCACATGGTTCTATCTTGAAATTTCAGGATCTAGTATCAACGGGTCTTTTAGGTCCACCTGTTGCCTGAGATCTGTTCCTCCAAATCGTCTCAATGCTAAGAAATAAGTGGGGGAGTGGACTCTCCATGCTGATGGTTAACCTCAGAAAATGCATTCGAAGCTATCCCATCAGCTCTGCAGTTTGTTTTTGTTTCTGTCTTAGGGAACCTCTTGCCCTTAGCACCTTCCTACTCTGTCCTTTGCAGGGCCATCCTGAGTCTGTGATGCCAGCATTCTGTCCTCACCCTGTGTGTCCTGTCAGCAGCACTGAAGGAAACTGGTTTAGTTTACAGGTGCTAAGCCCTTGATTTACAGCTTCCTCTTTGGACCCTGCTCCCCAGGTTTCT